GAGTTCAAGGTCTTTAGGGCCAGCAGGTGGAACAACCTTCCATCTAGGAGGTGGGGGTTCAGTGAGCAGCATCTAGCCCTACCACCAGACCCAGCCAAGGGAAACAAGATTCAGCCAGCAAGAGCCCAGGCCCAGGAGAGGTTTGGAGCTGAAATCATGGTGAGAGGCCAGACCCAAGGTGAGACTACCGAACAGTCTTTAGGGCCTGCCAGCTGGTAGGGTAGGGCGCCAGTCACAAAGCCAGGATTGGTGGAGGGACAGTGGGGCTCACAGACATGTGTGTCTTAATGAATATGCTAGGGAAGGCTGGGAAGCCCTCTTTTTACTCAATCTTCCCTTCCCCACGCCTCAGCAAAGCTTCTGGCAGACACTCAGCTATGGAATGGGCAGCGCTTATTTAACCTGTGTCGTTTTCTGTTGCATTGGGAAGAAAAGGGGTGCTTCTGAGTCCACGATACCCAAATAAGCCTAACACAGCTTCCCCTGCCAAGCAAAACAGGCTGGCTTCTCTGTAACCTCGTCCCCTTTCGCACCTCCTGGAGAAGATGGGAATTAGCAGTGAGAGGACAGGGAAAAGGCACCCACGTGCCAGCTGCCTCCATTGCAAAGCCCTTCACATGACTGACCTCTTCTTTCTCTTCATTCATCTGCCAGAGGGTGCTGCCCACCAGAGCCCCGACCTCAGTGGATGGTGATTGTGGGAGAGACGTGGGGGTGGCCCTTGGAAGGCACTGACTCCGGCAGCTCTGTAACAATCCTCTGATTGAGAAACTCTGCCCCTGTCCTCAGGGATGTCCTCCACACACTGCCATCTAGAGCAAGGAGAGCCAAGCTCTCCCAGCGAATCTGGCCCTCTCCCGTCTTCTTCCCCTTCTTTGCTCTCCGCAACTGCTCTTAGCAATTGCTTCTGACTCTCCTGACAAGCCATCGGTCATCCCGAGCCTGGGAAACTGCTCATCACTGGAAGCTAACATCTAGTGCAAGAGGCTTTTGCCTTGGTCCCACTCCCCTGTCTCTCCCCCTGATTGTTAGGGTAATGCTCTTAGAGATGAGGCTCTCTAGACCTCCCTGACCCTCAGCCCAGCTGGAGAAGGAGCTGCTGTGGGGAGGGTCCAGGAGTACAAAGCAGGCTCAGCTGTGCATGAGGGGACCAGGAAGGGCCTCAGGAGACCAAGATCCTGTCCTGGAGGTTCCAAGATGTCATGAGGTGGGCATAAGGGATTGACCCATCAATGCGTCCATCTGATCTCTGGATGGGCATGTCTTTGGGGAGTTAAGAGAAGTGAATGAGCCAAGAGACAAGACAGGGGAGCTGGGTATTGAGTCAGGTACTTTCATATCATCTCACTGAATCCTCGGGCTTGCGTGCGCGTGCACACACACACACACACACACACTTACATACATAAATGCATGTACACATATACATGCATACACATACATCTGTGTATAACATTTATGTTTTCTTCTTGAAACATCTATTTCCACCCTCCCCCTCTATACTTGGGCTCATTTTTGTAAACCCACTTTATTCCTCTCCCAGCCCTTGCAATTCAAAGGGGCTTTCTCTCCCTCCCCCACACTCTCTTTGGTTGCGTGTTAACTCATCTTCACTTGTGACAGGATGTATTCAAATTAAATATTCAAAAAATTCAGAGACTGATTTTCTTCCACCTCCAGTCTGGGTTTTCTTGCCGTCAATGCATCATCAGTTACTTATCAGTTTGGAAGGGCGGCAGCAGTGATGATTGACAGGCAGGAATGGGGAGAACCAAGGAGCTCCCGGGAGTGAGGCATCTTTTGTTTCCCTGTGCTCATTACAGAAGAAAAGTAGTTGCTCAAATTAGGCCACAGGGGAACTGCCTGGCCCCCTACCCAGCCAGTGCCTGAAGGTCAGCTATGGCTGCAGTCAGGGAGGTCAGCATCTGTCCACCTGACACTCTCCTACACTCTTACAGGTCCTGCTTTGAGGGGAGGCGGAGGTGGTGGTTGCCATGATCATCACAACAGAAAGATAGTTGACAAAGGCATATGTCATGTGCTGAGTTTTGTAGCCAAAGTATACGGTTAGTTAAGGGGTTCTGTGGACACCAGCAATTGCTCAGCCTCCCTGCCAGCCTCCTGGATGGGGCTCCCCTCTGAAGATAACTCAGTGTGAAATTCCTGCAGAAGGTCTAGAAAACAAAGGCCGCTTAGTGAATGGGGACTGGTCTTAGTTTGCTCAGGCTGCCATGGCAAAGGATCATAGACTGAGTGGATGAAACAACAGAAATGTCTTGTCTCACAGTTCTGGAGGCCAGAGTCTGAGATACGGGGGTTGGCAAGAGTGCTTTCTCCTGAGGCCTCTCTCCTTGGTTTGTAGATTGTGGCCTTCTCTCTGTGTCAATGAGACAAGACAGGGGAGCTGGGTATTGAGTCAGGTACTTTCATGTCATCTCACTGAATCCTCGGGCTTGCGCGCACACACACACACACACACACACCACACTTCTCTGCAGTTCAAGGCCTTGGGGAATCCCATACAGGCCTTTACCAGAGCTGTCCCACAGGGGAGGTTTAACCCATCTCCAACATTTTTCTTAATTCTTCTGTCCATTGGAAAAAAGGCACAAAAACAGGAGCCCTCATAAATAAGACCGAAAAAAAAACCCTACATTTTTAGCATTCTGTGGTTTATTATTCTTCAAATTTGATAACTTCCAAATGGAAATCCTGATCATTTTTAGAAACGATTTCTTCTGTGTTTTTCATAACCCTTAATCCAACCACAAACACCCCCAAAGCAGCCTGCTCTAGAATTGCATCTCTGACATATGTGTAAAATATTGAACAGCAGGCTTTGTTTACTCTATTTTTATGCACATGTATAAAACACGAGAAGGACAAACCTCTGCCTGACTGACCTAAGATTCTAGACGAGAATACATTCTGACCACACTTCATTTCAAGCGTGAAAAATAGCCCTCCGAAAGGGAAAAATATATGCGGTGTTTATGCCTCAGGCCAGGAAGTGTACCCTTTCGCTTGGGCTCTGCTCTGAATAGTCATCTAGACACATCAGCGCCTCTCAGTGTGACCGCCCTTGTGAGTTTCAGTTGGGCGGAAGCAGTTAGTTTGGTCAGAAGTTCCCCGCAAAGAAGATGACAAGATGAGATCTGCGGGTTTGGGACAGGGCTGGAGAGCGCCTGGTGCTCCTGGACTGTGCACGGCACAGAGGAAGCCTCGGGGCAGTTGGGGGGGGGGGGGGGGCAGACGAGTCAGCGGCTGAGGCTCTGGATGGGTCTCTCCAAAGAAGCGAGCTGCAGCCCTGGGTACCAGCAGCAAACATCAAAACCACATAAAAGGAGCAGGAAACGGTGGCCAGAGGAGCCGGCAGCCGTGGTGGTGTGGTAGAGCAGGTAGTGTTTGCAACAAGGTGAAGAGCACAGATGGAACAGAGGCTGGGGCGTGCAGGGTGGAGAGATGGGAGGGCTGGTGGTGTTTCTTCTGAGCACAGTCAGAACAATCAATAAATGAACAGATCTCCGTTCCAAGCTTTCTGTGCTCGACTCTGGCTTGAGGACTGTAGAAGTTTTGTCAAGATCCAAGAGCAGATCTTACAGTGTTGCTAGGCAGATAATATGAACAGGGGTTATAATGTGAATTATACAAGTATACAAGACGAGTGTGGATGGGAGAGTTGGAAGGGGTCGACCTCAGCGAGTGTACCTCAATCAGATCGAGGACGTTTTTAGCAAAGGCCAGCTTAGGAGTACCCTAATTAAGTTAATAATAATGTACCTACCGATATAGTTTAAGTTTAAAAAATGTGGCTCTCAAAAGAAATTTCAATCGTTGTACTGTTGATATTTGGCTCTGTTGACTAATGAGTTTGCCGATCACTGGTCTAGGTGTTAGTAACATGCCCATTGAAAAGATGTGGAAAGTGAAGGGCAGAACTTACCCAAAGTTCCCCAGCTGCTAGATGAGAGCCCACACTGAAAACCACATTCGTCAGCCCCAAAGCATGTGTCTGTTCACATTGCACCAAATGCCACCCAGGTCTGGAGAGGACGCGGCTCAGACTCAGGGTGGCATCCAAAGGGGCCCTGAAAAAAAGGGCATTGGTGGCCTAGAGGACAGACCTCATCACCTAGTTACTTGGTGGGGAGGTTCAAGACTGTGGCATAAAGGACACAGGGCACCGGGAGTTAGGGTTGGGGTGGGGGTGGGGGGAGAAATAGATTAAAAATAGAGTTGGCGGGGTACTAATTAGTTAAGCCCTAATACATGGGATAAATAGCAGGATGTAATTAACCACTGCATAAAGAGGACCCTAGGTATTCCCCTCCGAGAATAAATCATGTGGATTGTTATGCTAATTCCTGTTCCTTCTGACGCTGGCAATCTGAGAATTCCATCCAGCTGGGAGAGGCTGTTCAGATCCTGACTTCAGAAAACCACTCTTCAACCGAAGTGAATTGATCAGTCTCACGGGGTGTCAAAGGCCTTGGGGTTTTTGCTAAAATAGTTAGAGATGACTATTTAGGAATTGTTGGTTCTAGGCCCCTTCCTTCTGTCTACCAGAACATGCAGAAGTAAGGACTCTCGGGTTTCTAAAGGACTAGTTTCTAGAGCCACTGTTGGCGGAATGGGACCTGCTCCTCATTCAAGCAAAGTTCTAGTTTCATCAATGAAGAAATAATGCCCCAAAGCCCAAGATTTTCTTTGATCATCTTAATTTTGGGTTGTTTCATTGCTTTCAATGAGAATTTTTATTTAATAAGTTCACAAGTCCAAAACTCTTTTCTGACCTCATACTCAAATACAGCAGTGGATAATGATGACCTGGGGCTGCGGTAGCAGGCAGGCAGCACCACAGGGGCTTCCTATACATTTGTTTTACGGTTTCATCAATGAAGAAATAATGCCCCAAAGCCTAAGATTTTCTTTGATCATCTTAATTTTGGGTTGTTTCATTGCTTTCAATAACAGTTTTGGAATATGCATGAACAATGTGATTTAATGTTTACTTCTCAATGAGAATTTTTATTTAATAAGTTCACAAGTCCAAAACTCTTTTCTGACCTCATACTCAAATACATTTGGAAAATATGTTTATTGCTGTGTCCTTGGAACAATGATTCAGGCATTTTGTTGTCCTGAAAAAAAAACACACAAAATAATTACATTATTTTTTTCTAGCTTGACAAATGGTAAAATTAAGGTATAGAAGAGTTGACCTGCTTAAGGAGACAATGAAAGTTATAGAATTGGGCCCACACCTAGGTCATCTTGCATCTAGGTCAGCTCACAGCTCATGGTCCATGGCATAGATTTTCTACAGCCTTTGCATCATCTTGGCTCCCTTGCAGCTTCAGACCAATTGTTCATCTATTTTTAGCAGGCAAAACCACTGGGGAAGAAAGAAGCTAACAAATGAAAGGAAAAGATGTAAGGCACAAGGGCAGAATGAATAGCAGAGGTGGGATAAAAGTTAAAAAAAAAGTACCCTAAAAAAAATCCAGGGTAACATGTAAGTAGATGAGATGTATTTTATGCGCAATGGAATTTTTCTTTCATTTCCCTAATCCCACAACATGGTTCAATTCTTTTCTTGACTGAATCCCCCTCACATTTTGTTTGTTCTTCCCCAGGACATTTATTAGATCCTGCCTCCCATAACATACCGTGACAATCACACCCTGACCAGACCAACTAGATTATAAACTATCTGAAGGCATAGACAAATTTGTTCCCCACATTGAATTTAACGTTTGTTGGATAATCAGGAAAGTATTTACAGCTAGAGTGATTAACAGCAACAACAAAACTGCTGGGTCCATTTTTATCTTCTATTTGGAAAAGCATTTGTTTCCAAAATTTGATTTTGAAAAGCTGAAGAACTGGCGTGGGACATTACCGCTTGCTTGACTAAACAGATAAATAAAAACCTCCAACTTTGCTCTCCGTGAGCACAGGAGGGACAGAAAGAGAGAGGAGCTTGAGCCTGTGCTTTGTGTTGTGGCATTTGAGTGCGCCTGGCCTGGGGGAGGGAGGGGGGGAGGCTGCTGAAGCTTGGTTTGGAGTTGACAGGGCGCTCTCCTGCTCAGATCACACCGTGTTGGCAACAGACCAGACATGAGGAACCCACAGGACCTCTCTTAAACCTTTGTCACCTTCATTCATTCAATAATGATTTTTCAGGCAAGTTTCATTCAGGCACTTTGGGACAGGGCAGTGAGTCAGAGGTTGGCATTAAATCCAGAATAGAAGCCATAGTCCTCTCTGGGGAGCGTCCTCTGGGCTTTAAATTCCCAGATCACACAACTTCCTAATTGGTAAGAAATGTTCTTAAACAAGAACATAGGTTTCACCAGGCCTGACAGTGACTCACCAGGTGCTCCAAGGACTGTCTGATGAAAAAGAAGTTGGATGCACATGTCACAGTAAATTTCTAAAGTATTTTCCACCCGGAGGCTTATTGCTAAATATAAATAAAATATCTCTCCTTGGGCAATCCCATTCCAGCTCCAGCAGATATGCCTTCGTTAATTAAATTAACTTTGAAATGACATTCAAACAATGTCTTCCTTCCAAATGCCTTTGTTTTCTCCAAGATCTTCCTGTCAAGCTGTTTCACAAGTTCCCCTGTCCACCGATTAAGCGCCCCACCCCCAGCCCGCATACTAATTGAGACGTTTTATCCTCTCTGTGTTCGTAGGTGTAGAGCAGTCCCCACATTGCATTCATTTAACTATGTTCCCAAAGGCCCACACACAATACCAAAAATTAAAAAAAAAAAATGATCCAGGGTGCTTAAAAAGGATCCGAATAAATGCAAAATTTAAGTCTCATTTACTGAAACGCACACAACTGACAGCAAATTCCTGAGTTGAGGAGAGAGGATTTTTTTTAAAAAGTAGTCTTTCCAAAATCAGGCATTCGCGTCTTTATTACAGGGACTCTCGGCTTAAATCCTTTCAGTCCGAAGCTGATATTTCGCCACCGCGGATTACTGTCAGGTGCAGAAAGCAAGCCTTTGTTCCGTGAGCATCCTGCCCCCCACCCCCCGATTTGACTTATTTACTTGCCACGTGAGCTCTGAGCCGGGGCCGGTCCGGCGGGGAGGCCACCCCAGCGCAGGGGAGACAAAGGCTGGAAGCGCGCGGCCAGTGCGGCCCGGGGACGTCCCCCCAGCTCCGGCGACACGTGCGAAATTGGCCTGACCTGCCTGCGACTGAGCGGCTCTGGCACCAGACGTTCTGTGCCAGCCCGCGGGAAGGCGTCGGTGTTCCCTTGCGCGGGGAGAGGGCCCGGCCGGGGCCAGGGGATCCCTGGATGGTCGGGGCAGGGGGACTCCGTAGAGAGGCGCGCTCCCGGGGTCCCAGGTAGAACGAGGCTTTTAGATGGAGCCTCGCAGCCACCGCGGTCTAAGAGAGACCGACAGTGGCCCCCTTTGTCCTCGGTAGGGAGTACGACCCCCTCCATCCCCGAGAGGCCAAGCCCGGAAAGCCTTGGACCGCTCACCTCCCACAGTGCCCGGCGTGAGCGACGCGCCTCAGACGCAGAAGCCAAGGGCACCAAAAAATCAGTGGTTAAAATACGTATCCTAATGCAATGCTTTCTGAAGCGATTAAAATTAATGCCCCAAAAGTATGTTGAACAAAATATTACATTCTAAATAGAGACAGGATCAGCGCAGTGCCCTGCTGAGCCAGTTTGTAGCCATAGGTCAAGGGAAGGTTCCCGGGGTGTCGGGAGATTCGTGGCGCAGGGGGAGAGGCGCGCGGGCCACAGGCGTCGGAAGTGGAGGCCCCCCGAGAGCCGGGTAGGGGAGTGGCGGGGTGGCCCCGGGGGCCGGAGGTGAGAGATCGGGAGAGCTGCTCAGCCGGGAACAAAGGCGGGGCGGAAGGCCAGTCTGGGGTGGGAGCAACGGGAAGGGTGCCGTCCTTCGATGCCGGGGTCGGGCTTCCACTTGGACCTGGAGTGTAAGGCTCCGCGCCGCCAGCGAGTCCTGCAGGGTTCCCGCTCGCTGGTTAATTCTCACTCACAGACTTGGCAAGATGTCGGGCGAATAATTTTTGGCTTTTGTTGTGTCCGCATCGCGATGCACACAAGCCCCCTGACAAAAGCGGCTTCTGGGAAATTAAATGCATAAGTAAAAAACGGGGCGTAGCGGGAAAAATGCTACCTGACCCGGAAAGGGGACACTGAGACCTGAGTCGGCCCCAGAGCTTATTAAACCCTGGACGGTAAATTTCTCAGGGTCTAGCTTCGCACCAGATGTGGGCCCTCATTGTTATTTCCTGAGAAGACAATTTGCACATGTGCAATACGGGGTGAGGACTTTTCCAAGTCACATAAATACATAAATAAATAAATAAATAAATAAATAAATATCGGATTTTTTTTTTTTTGTCTACTAGGGTTAAACAAACATCTTTAGGAAGCGTGGACGGGAGTAGCGCCCTGCCTTCCTCCAGAGGAGCAACGTTCCGGCAATGAATGCCTCCCTCTGGATCTTAAAGCAACTGCCCCAACACCCCGCTCCCATTACTGGACTTCGGGCTTTTCCTTTCATCTTCTAAGTTGGGGCTTGCCCACGTCCTCGGGAAGCTATAAAGCTGATTTAATGGCGCAAGATGAAAATCGATCACGCTAATGCATAAGCTAACGTCAGAGGAAACGCACTTGAAAAAAAACGGCTAGCCGGGCCCAACGCACTCGGTAAATCTGGAGCGAGGAGGTTCCAGGCCCTGTCGGGTGGACGGCGGCATCACGGTCCCCATTCTGCTTGGATGCGGGGAAGGAGACTAGCGAGGCTGGGAGGGGGGGAAGGGGAGGAGCGAGGAGGTAAAAAGGATCAAACCCGATCCCTCGCCTCCGTTAGGCCGGGCTCTCAGCCGGCTACTTTCTTCCTGCCAACGCCGCAGCCCGGGTGGAGTGCCTGCACCGCCGCTCGCGTT